TATATATAATCTCATTTAATTTTCATAGCAATCTTGTGAAGAAGAGAATCATTACACAGATGCAGAAATGAGACACAGAGGACAAAAGTCTTGCCACATCTCCAATAAGTGACAAAGCTGGGGTTTCCAAAGCTGTGACTCATCAGCGGTGCCATGTCTGGCTTACATGATGGTGGTGACCTGGATATGGTAGTACTACAGACTGAGACCTGGTCCCAGGCTGGGTAGCAGGTTTGGATAGGGAAAGATACGGCATTTTTCAGTTATTAAATTCAGTTATAAATGGAAAAGAATCAGCTATTCAGTGGGAACCTGACAGAAATATAGAGTTCGGGACTTACAGTGGAGATGTGTGATTTATTAGTGTTTTGAAGGCAGAGAGCCACTTGGGAAGGACTGACATGATGAGGAGACCAGATACTGACCCTAAAGAATACTCTCAGCAAGACACAACTGGAAGGTTAAGAATGATGGTAGGAAACTAAGAGGTGGAATCAGGGAGGAGCCAAAGGAAGGGATGGAAGGGAAACTGGCAAATGAAGCTTTGAGAAGGAGAGTTATTACCTATTGGGTCTCAAGTAATTCTGATCTACATCAAAAATTTTGAGAAAGCCTTAAACCTTTGAAGTAGGCTTAAAGATTTTTTCTATTTATATAGCTATTTGGGGTTATAATTGACATACAATAAACTGTACACATTTAAACTATCCAAGTTTTTAATATATGTATGTGCCCATGAAACCATTACTAAGATTGAACGATGGACATTCCATCATTTCCATAGTTTCTCATGTCTGTTTCCTAACTCTGTTTCCTATACCTCAGTCCCCAGGCAACAGTTGTCTACCATCTGTTACTATACATTGGTTTTCTATTTCTAGAATTTTTTGTGAATGGGATCACCCTTCATGTCTCATTTCTTTCACTGATCATAATTACTTAAAATTCATACTTTTGTATGCATCAGTAATCCACTGTCTTTTATTTCTGAATAGCTGCATTATATTGTGTGGATAATTCATTTGTTTATCCATTCATCTGTGGATGGCTATTTTGGGGTCTTTCTCATTTTAGGCTATTATAAATAAAACGGTTGTGAACATTTCCATACATGTTTTATATAGACTTGTGCTGAATCATATGATAGATATATGTTGATGTTCTAAGATTGCCAGACTGTTTCCAAATAGGGGGTACCATTTTATATTTGCACCAGCAGCATATGTGATTCCAGTTCTTTCACATACTTAGTGACTCTTGGTCTGGTGAATCCTTTTCATTTTATTCATTCTAGTAATAGAGAATGGAATCTCTCTATGGTTTTAATATGCGTCTTTAATGATGCTGAATATCTTTCATGTGCTTATTTGACACTTGTGTGAACTGTTCAGTGAAAGGCTATTCAACCATTTTGCCTATTTTAAGAGAAAAAAAGCGTTACCTTACTAACTTTTAAGAATACTTTAAGAAAGCTGGGCATGGTAGTGCATACCTTTATTCCCAGCACTGAGGAGGCATAGGCAGGTGGAGTTCTGTGAGATGGAGCCCAGCCTAGTTCATGCCACCTAGGGCTAAGGGATACCCTGTCTCAAAACAACAATGAAAAACAAGTCAATTGCCCTGTTCTCCAGTGGAGGGTGTGTGGGAAGGCATAAGTAACACTAAAGGCTTTTAGAAAAAGCCATATGTAATCCTACCACTCTAGAAGCTTCTTAAAGTATATACATATACATCATAAAAAGAGATTAAAAAGGAGTTATCCTATAAGAGAGGACATTGCCATTTCTAGATACAATAGGCTAATGAAAAAAAAAAAAAAGCTTCAATGTCAGGAATGGATTCCCTCTCTAGAAACCATTGACCACAGGTCCCATAGACCCTCAAACAATCCTGGCCATTGCCCTTGCTCTTTGTTACCCACCAGAACTGGACAGTAAGACCCTATTGCTGATGACACTGCATACGTGAGCTGTAGAACAAAAAAGAAGACATCAAACAAGTACTGACTTCAGAGCCTCATCTCCACTGGCTAGCACTCATAGTGCTGGAAGTTGCCATGCATGCTACCAGAAGGAAAAAATAATCACCATCCTTACCCAGCTGTGAATCCTGTGAACTGCAATAGCAACTGGCCAGTGCAATAGTGGCATAAATATAATGGGAATAACCAACCACTCTTTAATTGGATTTAAGGTCTGTGTGCTAGATAGCTTCAGTTGCCAACTTGGCACACCTGAGTAGAGGGAAACTCAATTGAGAAATTACCTCCATTGAAATGGCCTGTGGTCATGTCTGTTGACTCATTTTCTTGATTATTGAATGATGTGGGAGGGCCCAGTCTGCTGTGGGTGGTGCTACCCCTGGGCAGATGATCCTTGGCTGTATAGGAAAGCAGATTGAGCAAATGCAGCATTCCTCCATGGTCTGTGCTTCAGAAGCTCCCGCCCTGAGTTCCTGCCCTTAATTCCCTTGATTATGAACTATGGCCTTGGAGATGTAAGATAAAATAAACCCTTTCCTTTCCTCCCCAAGTTGGTTTTGGTCAGTTTTTTTTTTGAATCATAGCAACAGAAAGCAAACTAGGACAGTCTGCTTCCTAGGATGGAGCCCATACCTGTCATTGATATCAGGCTTAGGAACCTGGGGCTAGACAGGTCACAGGACATAGGGGAGAACCTAATACTAGTTTCCTACTAAGTACTTATCATATTAAACTGACTTCTAATGACTTAT